AGGAGGGCAGGGAGTAAAAGGCATCGCTAGCCGCGGCAAAAGGAAGCCCGAAAGAAATGGCCTGGGCTCTGCCCCAAAGCGAATGCTTCGGCGTGGAAAGAAAGGGAAAGCGTGACCGAGAAGAAAAGGAGGGTGTACGCAGAAATGTTTTCAGGGTTTTTGAAAACCTCACGGGTAACGATTTATTTCAGAAGCACGGACAGCCTCCTGCCATTTCACACAGGCAGCGGCGTCTTCTTGTAAGGACCGAAGAACCAGGGGGAGAAAGAAAGATCAGGATCAAAAATGAAAGCGGTCAGGTTAGATGCCCAGCTGAAGCTGTGCAAAATGCCTGCCTTGGCTGATAGCATTAGTTTTAAAAATGTGCTTTTTAGGATTTATTACTACTAAAGTGTCTGAATGTCTGGGCTGGAAGGCACGGAGATGAGCCGAACTGTTTGCATTTCAGTGATGCAGAGAGAGCTAGCGGTGACTATGTCCAACCTCTTGAACAGCACTAGGAAATGGCCTCCCCAATAATGTCTGCATCATACTTTCATCTTCCGTTTCAGCTACAGAACATCAGTTAGAAAGAGATCCAGTCCTGGCGAAGGATATATCACTTCCACGGAAAATGAGTAAGGATCTGTTTTTCCTTTAATATACCTGATTTTTTAATCATTAAATCGTCCTGCTAAAAAAGTGAATATTTTCCATATTCCCGATTCAGGAAAGTATTTGAGTGCTTTCTCAAATAAGGGGTGGATTTGAAGGGTTATTCACAAACAGGGATCTCATTTCTGAATAAGATGACAGGGACACCAGAACTCTTTGTGCGGATGAGGTTTAACCCAGCAGGATCTGCTGAGATCAGGGGAATCACTTCCACTTTTCACTGGTGGCACAAGCAGAACTGGGGCTCCGGGCTTACTGAAAACAAAACAAATGCTGCTCTATTTGAAAGTAAAGTTACACAGGAAAAACACTTAGGAAGAAACATTCCAATAAAAAAAAAAAACTAGGAAAGATCAAAGAAACAGTCATGGCTTAACTGACACCTGTAACTTTCTCTCTTTCTCTAGTTACAGGGCAAGGAGGGTTACATGAATGGGAGCATGCTCCCAGAGGGAGGAAATGTGGCATTTGACAGGTGCAAGAAGCCAATAAATTATGGGATATGTAGAACAGAAGAACCATCTATTTCCTTACAAAATTGTCAAGGTTCAGTCTGTAGAAGATCAGAAAGTGATGCTTAAGATAGAAGTAAAAGATGCAAATGCTTTTTTTTTTTTTCTTGAGGAGGAGGGTAAAAGGGGGGAAATATCAGTAAGAAAAGGAACTGAGTTGGAACTGTAAATCAAAATTTGCATTCCAGTGCTATAAAAGTATGGTGGGACATTCTGGCTTCCTTTTAATCATGTAAATGAGTTCAGGGTTGAATTCTGCTCTTACAACCAGAAATGTCTGCAATATAATATCACACATGTTCCAAACACTGTGGGCTGCCTAGTCTGCTGGAATTTGGCAAAAAAGACCGACTTTCTTACTTGTCTTGAAATTTTATCATCTTTTCCACAGAGGTGGAAGAAATAGCCATCAGCCTGTGAATATACAAAACACCGATACCTACAGCAACGTGAGGCTCTAACATGATGCGTAAGTGTCCAACAGCACCCAGCATCTCCAAGAGCGGTGTTGAGCAGCCCTGGCCAGGCTGGAGACTGCACTCTGTTCACCCTTGCTCTTGGTTTGAATCTGGTCTCTACTTGTGCTTCTGCTGTTCAAGTGAGGGCTTGTGATGGTATAAGCAGAAATAACTTCATTATCTCTTCTGCCGTAGGCAAGCGCGGCTGAGTGCAAGTGTATTCCCATTAAGTCATGTGCATTAACTGTGTGCTACTTGTAGGGAACTAGGAAACTACTACACAGTCTCCAAATTGTTGTATTTCTTTCCTCCCATCCTCCCCTTACTAGGAATGGATTAAAAGTGCAGTCTCTTTGCTTTTTCCTTTCTAAAAGGGGAAGGAAATGGCAGCTTGAAGCTGAGAGCAAGATTTCCCCATAATATAAAACAGTACACTGCCCCTGATGTGGAAGGAACTATGCTGATTTATATCCACAAAGACTGTGGCTCTCTAGCATACTAAATACCCTGTGCTAGTGCTGCACCAGGTACTCAGCTGAGGTATACCACTGTCCAGTGCTCACAGCACTGTGGGGAAATGTTTCTTTAAAAAAAAATAAAAGCAGGCATTGTAAAATAAAAGCAGGCATTGTAATGCCATTGTCTCATTATGTGGCTCTCACAGTGAAGACAAAAGTAACATTCCCATCAATGTCAACAGGATGAGAGTATGGCCCTCAGAGAATATTTCATATTGTTACATCCTTTCATGACTCGAACAAAATTTCATTCCTGGATAACAGCCCTGGTTTATGATAGGAAATAAGTGCTCTGTCACACCCCGATAATTAGTACATCACAGGCAGAATGTAAAACCAGGCAGTAAAATGACACTAAGTTTCTGGCAGAACTTTGAGCCGCATATAAACCATATACAAGATGATACAGACAAGACATTGTTGTACTCCTTCCTTTCAGAGAGGCTAATAATAGAAAGGTCAATGCCTCCAGGATAAAACAAAATACTGAAGATAAGCTCATGCTGGAAAGCAGTCACGATGCCATTGCCGCGCTTCATATTCACACAGTAGAAAACGCAGCACAAGCAGCTTTGGCCATATGCCTTTCTTAGTATATAAAGGACTTCTTAAAACACACTGGGAGTTGAACGGATCTCAGTGAGGCGACTATCACTGACCGTATGTGACGAAGAAGGAAGAGTCTGCTGTGAAATGTGTTTTTTCCTTTTTTTTTTTTTTTTTGAAACAGAGATGAGCATTTCAGTTTTCTGCAAAGACAAATGCAATTTCTTAGGCACCGTCCTGAGAAAGGGAAAGGAGGAAAGGGGGGGATACATACCATGAACAACACAGTGCAGATGAAAATGCAGACCCTAGGCAGCAATGGAGACCCGGGTTTCCATCCACTGCAGCAGAAAATACATTTCTCACACTGCACATCCATAAATCGTTATCTAGAAAGAAAACGTAAAACTTGAAAAAAGTAAATTCAAAAACAATTTAAGGACTGCAGATAGATAGGTTAAACCAAATTGACACTCATATACTCAGGTGGAGAAGAACATGTAGGCCTTTTAAAAGATTTAAAAAAAAAATTTGCCATGGAAATGAATTACTCTGTAGCAGGAGATGAAACCATTGCAAACTGCTGATTTGAGTGCTGGTCTAAAATATTCAGAAGGCCAGGGAATGTCCAGATTAAATGGATGTGTGGTCTCCGTCACTTTCTGGTAAGCAGTGGTTCACATCCCAAAAACACCAGTGGGTAAGCCAAGGAGCAAAGAGATTCTGACTCCCCCCTGCTGAGGAGACTGCTATGACCGTTCACCCACACAGCAGCTGGAGGAAGGTTTGTTTGCTAACAGGGCCCAGGAGAAAGTTTACAGCAAAAGCACAACGGGAGCGACACATCAGACTGCGCTTTGGCGTACACAGCTCCGGTGCCACACTGCGGTAGCTCCAATTCAGGAGTTATTGCTAATATTAACTTTTTAGCCTAGTTTCCTAAGGAAATGAGGCTTAGGCAATAATTTTGTCTGGCTGGTTTCCCTACTAATTTTGAGCCTACTGACTGATGTCAGCCAAGTGGAATAGAGGGACAGAGCTCTCAAAGACAATTATGTTCTTCCAAGTTTTGTAAAAACAGATGTCTGGAGAGGGAGAAGGGAGAGCAACCAACATTTATTCCCTGCTAAAGGAAAGGCTGCAGCATGAGATCGTCATTTAGGTATCAGAGGATCCACATGGAAGACGTCTTCCTTTGGATGGAAAAGGTCTTCTATATGTGCTTGTTGCACCAACGTTTCAGCAGGCACTGACACTTTCAGAGACACCACAGTCAGTCGGTCCCAGATGCAAGCCTGCAGGAGACCTGGCTTCATTAGTTTCAAAGCCTGCAGAACAACTCATGCCCCATCTAAGCACAGTTTCATGCTGACTCACACTGGAAATTTCCCACATGACGCTATTCCCTATGACATTTTCTATTCTCAGAAACTGTCCTCACAAGAAGCCGAATGCAAAAGATTTTTTTCAGACTACTGAGAGTATCTTCCTTACTTACTGAAAGTTAGTTGATAATTCTGCTGTTTTTCAGCCTACCTTTGGCTGTCTCTTTTTATGTCAGTCAATAGTTGCAACACATTATAACACTGATACCATCAGTAACACCTTTGTAACATTCCGTTTGAATTCATTATCTACTAAGCGCAGGAATGATAATGACCCATATCTGCTACATCAAATGAATAGTGCATACCTCTGGCTATTCCCTCTGTGTGTAACCCATTGCTATGCGTACATCAGCACCTAAAACTTAAAATTAAAAAAAATGAGCAGACCTGAGGATCTCTGCCTGGGTGGTGCCACAATATGTCTGGTGGATTCCACTGAGCTCACTTATACTTTCTCTCCCGAAGAGTTAAAACCCAACACGTGAGGGCAGACTTACAACACCAGTTTAGCAGCCCCCTTTTCCAGAAAGTGTACATCCCATTTAAACAACAACAACAACAAAAAAAGAGAAACAAAACCTCATCAACATCTTGACTAGCTCCTGTTAAAAAATACTTCTCCTTGAGAAATCCAGGACATTCCTCTTTGCATTAATTGCCACCTTATTAGTGGAATGAATGTTGCCAGTCTTTTCTCAAGCTGCTTGGAGGTGAAGGGCGTCTTTCTTTCCCTTTACCAAAAACAACAACAAAACGTCCCAAGAGAGAAGAAAAGAGAAAAAGGAAAGGGAGCTGCTGAGAGCCAGGCTACTTATTCATCTTCGAACATTGGTTTCCATGGGAATAAGTTTGGTTCTTTGTGGAGGCTGAACAGCCCCATGCAGTCTAATGCCTCCAACATTACATTTGTGTGGTCAACTTTCCTTTGGCTTTCCCTCATCTCCTTCCTCCTCATCCCTGCTCAGCAACAAGACTGGTGTCACAAAAATGAAGAAATCATTCAATAAGTTGGCTGAATTAGGTTTGCATCAAAGCCTACTGAGGCTTTTCTACTGCCACCAGTGAAACTTGGATGAAACCCCACAGCATAAAGCACAATGACTTCCACTCAGCTTGTCAAAATGGTTACCCAGCCTTTGGCTGCCTCAACTTTTCTGTTTTGATGGTTTCTATCTCACTTTTGTCCTTCATCTGTGGGTTGTTTTTTTTTTTTCCTTCTGCAGCTCTTTATTGTTTCTTAGTTTTGACAGATCGTGTAGAACATACAACTCTAGTCGTATTAGTGTTTAAAAGTGAATCATTACCTGTACACCATGAAGGGCACAGGTTCACCAACAACTGCAAAAAGGACTAAATAGACTGAAAAACAGATTTTGGATGAAATCCAACTTAAGAAGCATTATTCCTACATTAAACTTTTCAGAGGTTCACCTGCTTTACTCTTTGCTTTAAACCAAGGAAGTGAACAAAAGTAACATGACATTCCTGTTACGTTCCCTATTCCTATAGGGAACTAGATGAAGACTGGGAGATCTCAGTCAGGACGCAGGAGACATTACAGAAAAACTCATGGACTGCGTATTGTATTTAATCTGACTACAATAATTTGCTAGTCTTCTTGTAATCCATTTTGACATAAAATTTAAAAAAAAAGAAACTGTTTATAAATCCATTACTCAGAAGCTGCCATGCAATACATTTTCATACATTAATCCTCATCATTTTGCTGTCACGATTTTTTTCTATTAAAGGAATAAAGCAAAAACATGTTTTCATAAATCACTAATAAAATATTTAGCACTTCCTATTGCTCCACTTTCAAAACTCCTCCTTCTTAAAAGCTTCTAGGGTCCAAAGTTTTTTGAAAAAATGAACAAAAGAAAAATATATTAGAAATTCATGAAAGCCATTCACAGGCAGGCTGTCAGGAGTACAGGAGGGTTTTTTTGTAAGGATACTTTTTCCGTTCAGGTTTTGAAATGTATTTTCTTTGCAAGACAGAGACGCTGATGGATTTTCAATTTTTAAATCTAAGATTAGGTCTAATTGCCTAATTTACTTTACCTATCCCTTAGAAAACTTACCTAGAACTGCAGCATTTTATACAGTACCTCAGGACGTGTGGCTTGAAAGAAGCTATTGAAGCGCGGAAAAATTGATCAATCATTTGATTGTCGATTCACACATCAGTGAATGACAGGTAGAGCCATTTTAGTCTTATCGTTCCTGTAAGAACGTTAGCAATTCAGGCCAATGAAGATCCATTGTGATAATGGAAGTAATAATGAAAGCTGGAACTTAGACCACGCGCTAGCATTCACGGCAGTACATCATCTCCCCTTACTCACAATAAGATGAAATGAGAAGGTTATTAGAAACACATGAACAATAAAGCTACTGTAAAAACTGCTTCCTATGGATCCAGGTTTCAATGGTGCAAGTGTGTTTCTTTCTTTCTCTCTAATTTCAACTCAGCTGAGGCCTTTTCCCATCTTCCCACTGCATTTCAGTTTAGGGCAGAAGCAAAGCAACCAGCAAGACATGTTTTCTTAATAGGTTATAGTTAAGTGTTTCAGGAAATCAAATACACTGGATTATTTCTCCAAACAAAGGGGAAACACAAAGCTAACATTTGGAATTTGCCAGGTCTAACCAAAACAATTTCAGATACCTAGTAATAAAGTGAGAGTACACAGCATTACTCGAGCTAACTATCAAATTGCAGGAGAGTCATTTTAGCCCAAACTGAGCAAGTTTAAGCAAAACATGAAAGGGTGGTCCAACTTCTTGCCCTGAAGTCCTCCTGACGTGGAAACATTTGTTGCTTTGTATTCTGTAAACCAGGGAGAAGACTTAGTTTTCGTGAAATCATACTTCTAAGACTAGTGAATTGACAGATTTGAGACATTTTATCAGAAATAACTAAAAGTGCAGAGGATGACTAGAAAATTGAAAGGCAATTCCCACTTCTGTTATTCTTTGGCCTTCAACACATAACAATTCAAAACTGGGAAGCATGAACATTTTTGTAAAGAGAGACGCCATCAACCCACTAGCTTCAATTCAGCATGGACCCACTGGGAGATAATAAGAGGAGTTAATATGGTCCAGTA